AGTTTTTTTTCTTCCACATAAGCCACTTGAGTTTCCTGTGTATTCTGGTTATCAGTCCCTTAACTGAGGCACAGTTAACAAAAATTCTCTCCCAATCTGAGGGTTGCCGATTCACACTAACAGTGTCCTTTGCTGTGCAGAAACTCCTTAATATGATGTAATCCCACCTGTCTATTTGTGAGATTATTGCCTGTGTTTGGGGTGGGGGGGTCTCACTTAAGAAGTCTTTGCTTACCCCACTTAGAGTTGGTTTTGTTAATGGTTACAGATAGGGGTTCAGATTCATCTTTCTGTAGGTGAATATCCAGGTTTTCCAGCACCATTTGCTAAAGAGATTTTCCTTTTCACACTAGGTTGACTGGTACCCTTTGTCAAAGATCAGTTGATTGTATGTTTTGAGATTAATTTCTGGGGTCTCTACTCTTCTCCATTGGTCCTCCTGTCTGTTTTTGTGCCAATACCATGCTGTTTTAGTGATCACAGCTTTGTAATATATTTTAGGGTCAGGGAGTAAGATGCCTCCCACTCCATTCTTCTTACACAGAATGGCTTTGGCAATACGTGATCTTTTATGATTCCAGACAAATTCTATGATCTTCTTTTCTAGATCTGTAAAGAATATCTCTTGTAATTTTATAGGGATTGCACTGCATATATAGATTAATTTGGGTAGAATTACCATTTTGATTATATCGATTCTGCCAATCCAGGAACGTGCGATGTCCTCCCACCTTTTTGTAACCTTTTTGATTTCCTTTCTAAGGTTTTTGTAGTTTTCCTTATAGAGGTCTTTGACTTTCTTGGTTAGTTTTATTCCTAGGTTATTTTATACTTCTTGTGGCTATGGTAAATGGGATTACTTTATTCAGTTCTGTCTCTGTCTGTTTATTGTTTGTATATAGAAATGCTATAGATTTTTGTAAGTTAATTTTGTATCCTGCCACTTTACTGAAAGCACCTATTACTTTAAAGAGTTTTTTTGTGGATATTATTGGGTCTTCTATGTATACAATCATGTCATCTGCAGAGATAATTTCAGCTCTTCTTTCCCAATTGGGATGCCCTTTATTTCCTTCTCTTATCTGATCGCATTGATTAACACTTCCAGTGCTATATTGAATAGGAGCAGAGAAAGTGGTCAGTCTTGTCTTGTACCAGTTTTGTATAATGTTAGCTATAGGTTTTTCATAGGTGGCTTCTATTATGCTGAGAAACAATCCTTTTATGCCAATTTTCCCGAGAGTCTTAATCATATAGGAATGTTGTATTTTGTCAAATGCTTTTTTCACATCATATATCAAAAATGAACTCATTTTCTTAATCCAGGACAAAGACAGAGGTTTCTAAAATTATGGTTTTGGGACCAGCAGTTAGTGTAATGGCTATGTCGCTGGACTCCCACGTAGTCCACCGTGGTTCACTTCCCGAACCCAGTGGCTTAAAACACGCCAGGCGCATGTGCGTATGTGCCCAAGATCCCAAGAGGAGAATGGAGGAGAAAGGATTGCGGCGTGGCCATCCCCCCTGGGGGGGTGTGATTTCTCACTTTCTGTCTCTCTGTCTCTCTCTGTCTGGCTGGCGAGTGCACATGCCCTATAGCGAAAAACCTCTCAAAAATAATAATAATAATAATAGTTTTACAAAGATGACCACTTTCCCAAGATTGATCAAAATGAAGTATTATTTCTGTCACTGATATAAATATCAAAATTCCAGTATGCTTTTTTTTCATGGAAAAAGGGACCAAAAATGATAAAAATTTATCCATCTCAGCCAAACTATCTATCCCTTCTGGAAGATGGTCCAAACGTCTCAGCAGCATCCAGTGCTTCAGGAGAAGGTAGGATTACCCAAATTTTGTCTATTCCAGGAGTGCTAGGCAGATCAAACAAATGCAGGAAGGGACCAGAGGTTTCAATCCCTTTAAGGCACTGAGACACTCCACAAACACAACCATAAGAACACTCTGCCTCATGAACACCTTCTCCTTCACGGTCTGCACAACGGCAGATTTTCCACAGTGACCATGCAGAAGGAACTGAGCACCACAAGCAGAAAAAGAATCTGAACTGCCACTACTATTTAAAACAGAAATTATAAAAGTAGGTATCTTCTGCCTTGTACCTGATCTTTTTTAGAGGGAAAGCTTTCAGTATTTACTTTCAGCTTATTCTTCTAGGTATATTTTTTCATATATTGACTTACACATTTTAATACTGAAAAATTAAGCTATTCTGAAAGGGCTTTGTATTGACAAACTAAAATAATCTTTATTCATGGCCTTAAATGACCTGATTTCAATACAACTTTCATCTATCTCCATGCTCTTGACTGTGCTACTGTTAAGTTTTCTAGTTAATAGAAAGTCATAGTTGTTTGTTTGTTTTTTTTTTGTTTTTTGAGAGGTTTTTGCTATAGGGCATGTGTGTCTGCCAAAAAGACTGAGAGAGAGAGAGAGAAAGAAAGCAAGAAATCACCCTCCAGGGGGATGGCCATGCCGCAATCCCTTCTGCTCCATTCTCCTCTCAGGATCTTGGCCTACACGCATATGCACCTGGCGTGAGTTTAAGCCAGTGGGTCTAGGACTTGAACTGCAGTCGACTACATGGGAGTCTAGTGGTATAGCCACTATGCTAACCGCTGGTCCCAGAAAGTCATAATTTTGAAGATCCCTTGCAGGTTGAAAGATAAACTTTCCAGTATATGTGGCTATTCCTTCCAGAGTGAATAGCCAGAAGGATTGGGGCTTAAAGTTAGTAAAGCAGTCATCGGCTGAACTACTTGGTTTATTCAGATAGTAATATCATATTTTGGAGTCATCATTTGATTCTACTGCTAGCAGATCTGATCATCTTGAAACTCAGTACTGAAAGTAGCTTGATTAAATATAGTAATTAAGAGACCATACATTTGACAATACGCATAGTCTCATTCTCAACAACCATACCATTTTGCTATAGCATGGCTAATGATAGAGCTAGACTGATATCCACTGACTGAGTAGTTTTGCCTAATTTACTGTTCAGTACTTTTTCATAATGCATGGTCCTTGATGAGTATTAACATGATATCCCATGGTGAGTCTCTAACAGGGATCTACAGCATGCTAAGAGCCAAATGCATATAATCTTCAGTCCAGATTGTCTTTCTGTGTTTTCTGATCATTTGATTAAGTTTGCCATATATCCCATATAACATCTTTCACCATTGAAACTTTTTTAAAAATATTTATTTATTTAATTCCATTTGTTATTACCATTATTTTTTAATTGGTCCAGAGAGAGACAAAAAGAGAGAGAAAAGGAAAGTGAGAAAGTAAGCCATCATGTCTGAGACTCGAACCACAGTCAGCCTTGCTGGCCATCCATGAAAACTTGTCATACCATAGACTCTACCCAGTAATAAACCCCACTTCAACTGGAATCTACTGGAGGGTCCTTTTACCTTTGGATATACCCAAAGCTGAAAATAGTTTGTGTTACCTGGTATTTGAGCCAATATTTGACTGTAATTTTGAAAAGACCTACAAGTCATTATTCTTTCCTCCAGAGGCAGGATCCACAAATCTATCCTTCGTTATATGTCCTCAAACCCCCTGACCACTGGATCTCCCACTTTTTGTATTTCACCAGATTGAATCAAGCAGCATCTTCATTTTGGAAATCCCAGTCTCCAAACTTGTAGTAAATAACTTTGTTGTCCATAAACCCCATTTAATGGCATTTTGTTATAGCCTTGCAACTGGACATGTGCTCTCAGCATAAATTTCATCCACTGAGTAAGACATGCGCTCTCAGCATAAATTTCATCCACTGAGAGCTTTGAAGCTGAGACAGCTCTTCCGCGTTGGCCCAAATAGAAATGAGAAGTCTTTCCGAGTTGGCCCAAATAGAAATGAGAAGTCTGAGAGTTTAGAGTTCTGCATGCAACTACACATTAGATATGGGCTAATCTGGGAAGGAAACATTATTTTGTACTAAATGGCTCTCTTCAGCAGAAGCACTGCTTAAACTCGGTTGACAGATGAATAATATCAGCTGATAATCTTCCGGCTAGAGAACAATTCCTGTATTTTCAAAAAGATAGTCTCAGTGATGCATCAACTACTTCACTAAAAGAAAAACATATAGGATATTGCTAATCTGTGACAATATTTTGCTTAGAAACTATGTTCAAATTCCTTATAATGGAGATTTTCCTCTCACTTGAGGTATGAAGATTATTGATAGGATGAAAACAAGTCTGTCTATGTTATGATATCTTTGTCTACTTCTGATTTGATTGTCCTTTCTCACAACATGTTTCTAAATATCACCCAGATTAAAGAGTCAGTCTCTTAAAGTTCAGAAGAAGGTGTTTGGAAAAAAAAAAAATACTTCCAAGTGTAGAAAACATAACAAATGATCAAAATGTTCAGAGATTGTCCTTTCTCACAACATGTTTCTAAATATCACCTAGATTAAAGAGTCAGTCTCTTAAAGTTCAGAAGAAGGTGTTTGGAAAAAAAAAATACTTCCAAATGTAGAAAACATAACAAATGATCAATATGTTCAGAAAAGGAAGGAGTCATGATTTATAAAATATTTTCAGATGAACAAAAGTACTCAGGAGAAAGTTAAATATCCATGTTTTGATAAAATAGAAAAGAAATGAAAGAGTACTTGAAGTCAGAACAAGATAAGCAAGGGAAACAGAATGAAGATAATACAGTAATGTTCAAATAAATTAAAGTTGATTTTTCTGTTGCCTCTCTGTTGACATAATGCTGCCTTTTCATACTGGAAACTCGCTAACTACAATATAACTTCCTCTTATCTTAGAGGGAGGGCCTTGCAATGATACTGTTATTTTATGATGTACACTTACAGTACAATATTATCCACCACTTCCTTTTTTCACTTGCTTTCCAAATCTTCTCTGCCCATCTGCAAAGTCACTCTGACTTTGAAATTTACTAGTTACATTTTAACTACTAGGTTGATTCCTTCCTTTATATAAATAGAGCCACACCAGGAGTAAAGAAAGTTTCTGAAGAAGGGATTCATTTTACCAGGATGTCTAAGATATGGGCCTCTTTTCTTCTGCTCATACAGTTGTGTTGTTACTTCAGCTGTGGGTCCTGTGGGAAAGTGCTTGTGTGGCCGATGGAATACAGTCATTGGATCAACTTAAAGACGATACTGGATGAACTTACTCAGAGAGGTCATGAAGTGACTGTGCTGGCGTCTTCAGCGTCCATCCTCGTGGATCCCAGCAAACCATCCGTAATTAACTTCGAGGTTTATCCTACGTCCTTTACAAAGGATGACTTAGATCTCCGCTTCATGAAACTGATTAAATTGTGGGCATATGAGTTACCAAGGAGTACACTGTGGGCATATGATTCAAAGATGCAAAAGTCATATTATGACTATTCTGACATTGTTCTCAAGCTTTGTCAGGATGCAGTTTTGAACAAGAAACTTATAAAGAAACTGAAAGACTCCAAATTTGATGTTGTTGTCGGAGATGCCATTTCTCCTTGTGGTGAGCTGCTGTCTGAGCTGCTAAACCTACCTCTGGTCTACAGTCTTCGATTTACTGCCGGCAATACATATGAAAGACTTTGTGGAGGGCTATTACTACCTCCTTCTTATGCACCTGTTATTTTATCAGAACTTAGTGACAAAATGACATTTATGGAGAGGGTGACAAATATGTTGTATTACCTGCATTTCAACTATGCATTTGAGACCTTTGACAAGAAGAAGTGGGATCAATTTTACAGTGAAGTATTAGGTAAGTCAGTAGTTAATTATCTTATTTTACCTCTGATATATATAAATAAATCTTCCTTTTTAAGAAGTGGTAGAGTGTGTGTGTGTGTGTGTGTGTGTGTGTGTACACAAATATTGAGATACGCATATATACAAATATAAAACAATTTTTTTTCTAGGAATAGTGACTAAATGATAATGTGACAGCTTTCTTTTTAAAATTTTTTTATCTTTTTAAAATTTATTTTTATTTATTTACTTTACATTCATTCACTGCATATCATTATAGCACACAACATGAGTGTTCCCATCCAGAATACATTAAATATTGACCTGCTCAAGGGTATTACCTATTATCTTGCACACATAATTTTCCATTTTGTGTTTCTTAACTGTTTACTTGCTTCATTTTTTATTAGTCTTGATTCTCTCCCTCTCAGGTTTTAGTCAAAATTTATTATTTTACCCTAAGAGCTTGTGCAAGGTAGGTTGGAATGTTATGACACTGAGACCTCCCTCTAATTTGACATTGTACCATTAAATAGTCCTGGGGCTTGTTTTTGTTTTGTTTTGTTTTGTTTTTAAATTTGATAGGCATTGTATTTTTTATAAATCATGAATGTCTAATCAACTTATTACTGTATAACTGAACATCCTAAAACTTAGGATTTAAAATTATCACCCTTTTATATTCTCATGATTCTGTGGGTCAGCAATTTAGGCTGGCCTATGCAAATATCCCTTCTTTCTTCTCTGAGTCTTGCTTGGGCTCACTCATTTAGAGGCAGTTAGCCATCAGCAGGGTTAAGGCAGTGAATTATTTTTTAAAAATACCACTTGAGTATCTCAGCCATACTTAGAAGATATGTAATCACTCTCTATGACTAAAAGGGTATGTAACATGACGTTTAAATTACTAAGGAAATTGAGATGCCAGTTATAAAAACATTAGCCTTTCACTGCGATGTGAAAGGAGAATCTGCTGAAAAATTAACCAGAGATTTTAGGCTATAGAAAATAAACTATTGGATGTGACACCGTGGTAACAGCATACTAAGCAATGTGAAGAAAACAGGCACAGGTGACAAATAATCAAAATATAAAGCTGGCTAATGAGTGGGTGTAATGGGTGGGTCTGTGGGGAATAAAAGAATATAAAAGAATAAGCAAATAAGTCAGAGACCAAGGTCTTTAAGATCAGTGCACTAAAAATTAACTAGGAGTCATAGGTCACTTTTAAAAAAAAGCTCTTAAATGAGATGTCAAGGACAATGTGAAGGAAGCAAAGGACATCAATGAACAAACAATTAAATCAGAAAACTAGATGAGGAATGATGATTAGGGCAGGTGGGTTTTAGGGAATAAAAGACTAGGCAAATAAATGCAAAGCCACAAAAACGCTTAGAAAACATAGGCAGATTTGAGGGCAGAAGTTCAAGAGAGTAATGTTGACAGATCTTCACAGCTAAATCAGCTTCCCAGTCCAAACCAGAAATTTCCTGTCATTCCTTGAACAGGCATGCGTGACAGCATTGGTGACTTCACTCTGGATAGAAGGTGACAAAGGAGAGTCTTTGTCTAAAAAACGCAGAATTTGCAGATATTTTTGTTTTTGCTGAATACACCTTATCACACATTTCCACATACTTAGTAACATTTATTATCAGTTTACCAATTATTGTAATTTTTCTAGAAATCTAAGACACAAATGTAAATCAAGAAAAATACCTTGGACTGAATCATAATACAGTTTCTTAACCTCCCATTCTGTCCTTGTAGTTATCAAGCAGTTTTCCTTTCCTACTCCACTGCAATAATTCATATATGTCAAAAGTTTCAAGTTTCCTAAGAAAGAAAAATATAAATGAGGTTGAAAACAACATCAAAAACATCATTTTCATTTAGGGTATAACTTGCATTATGCACTTTACTGATAAAAGATAGCCAAGGAATTTGGTGCTGAAGAAACTTTCTTCTGTGAAATACACAAGGGAAGGTCTTTGGACTATGGAAACAAAAGCTTGTTGGCTCCAGGTGAGACCTGTATCATTGGAGAGGATTTCTGATGTACTGGAGTTTTTCTGCCTGCCTTTCTCTATATTCCTAAAGGAAATTCAACTTCTCATGAGTGACTCATTCATTCTCTGGAGACTGGTTGAATGCTACTGAAAACTAGATGGAGGGGGAACCAGCAGTTAGTCAACCGCGGTTCGTGTCCCGGACCCGGTGGCTTAAAACTCATGCCGGGCGCGTGTGCGTGTGTGCCCAAGATCCCGAGAGGAGAATGGAGGAGAGGGGATTGCGGCATGACCATCCCCCCTGGGGGTGATTTCTCGCTTTCTGTCTCTAATGTCTCTCTCTGTCTGTCTGGCGAGCGCACGTGCCCTATAGTAAAAATCTCTCAAAAAAAAAAAAAAAAAAAACTAGATGGAGACAAGTGTGAGAAATGCAAATTCTTCATATTGCACATGTTAATATGAACATATTTAACATGGACAATCTTTAGATTTTTAAAAAACAGTTTCATATTCATCCACTTACCTTAACCTTAGAGTATTTCTTCAGTTTTAATGATCAGCAAAGTGGGGCTTGAGTTGGCCCTATGCCCCACATGAAACCCTATCACTAATGTCTTCAAAAAGGATAAGGATCTTCATTGGTCAAGGAAATAAAATACATTTGAAATACTATAGTACTAAATAAAAAGGCCAAAAATATCATGTAAGAGATACAGAGACATGCAAATCTAATGCTATGGAGATGGAAAAGGGGAACGTGGTCATTTAGAATATAATACACTTAAAATTCATCATTCACTTAAACAAGAATAGAGAAATAAGGTTCTAGTAATAAAATCTACCAGTCAGCTTGATTCGTAATCCTTGAAAAGAAGAATGAATATTTGAAACTAGAAGGACAGTTGAGATGAGAGTATCTTCTTAGATGTGTAAGTTTTTTTGGTTTTGGTTTTGGTTTTTAAAATTTTTGCTCTAGAGCACATGCACTTGCCAGAGAGAGAGCAGAAAGTGAGAAATCACCTCCTGGGCAATCCCTTCTTCTCCATTCTCCTCTAGGTATTTTGGACAAACATGTGCATGTACCTGATGTGAGTTTTAAGCTTTCAGGTCTGAGACTCAAACCATGGTTGGCCACGTGGGAGTCCAGTGACATAACCACTATGCCATCTGCTGGTCCCATAAATTAGGTTTGTTTTTGTTTTTGCTTTTTTCTTTTAACACGGCCTTTATTATCTTTGGTTTTTGTTCATATGTTTGGTCTAAATTTTCTAACACTGGCATGTTTTAATTTGTTTGATCTACAAGAGATCCGAAATTTTCTTTTAAACTTCTCTAAGGAAATAAAAAGATACAATGGGCAATATGTACCCACTTATGAGCTGTTCCTTACATTTTTGTTCATTTGTTTACAGGAAGACCCACTTCGTTGTGTGAATTGATGGGGAAAGCTGACATATGGTTGATGCGAACATATTGGGATTATGAATTTCCTCACCCACTTTTACCAAATTTTGAATATGTTGGAGGACTACACTGCAAACCTGCCAAACCCCTGCCTAAGGTAAATCAGTTTCTTGGAAAGAGTTTTCCATTTCCAATCTAAATGTTGTTTTATGAAAAAGACATGGAACAATGTATAAAATTTATTTGTAAAATTACCTCATATATTATGTGTTTCATTTTTTATTATCACTACAAGACTCTGGCTACATTATAGTTGTGAAAACGATGAGAGAAATGCAAGGTCTTTGAAACAGTTATTTACTGCTCAACACATAAGCAAGGATACTTTTTTCAACAAATGGATATTCTTTGTCTACTAGATACCAGATTCTATATGCTGTATAGAAGGAGAGACCAACAAGAAAGTTGCCTTGGGGAAGCATAGAGACCAGTTGACTGGAAAAGCCATAAACATTAAACAAGTACAAGAACTAGACCCCCTTTCTCTCACCATCGACAAAAGTCAACTCATAATTGATCTAAATAAGGCTTCAAACTTTTACTTTTGGAAAACACAGAGGACACACTTGAAGACATTGATGTAGGCAAGCATTCTTAAATAGGACCCTGAAAGGTTTGCAAAAACTACAAAAATAAACAAGTGGAAAAAAAACTTCTTCATGGCAAAGAAAACACTGAAGAGATTGCCCACAGAATGGTAGAAAATATTTTCAAATTATACTTTAGATAAAGGATTGATAACCAGAATATGTAGGGAATTCAAATAGCATACATGCAGAAAAAGTAATAATTCACATTTTTTTAGAGGTTTTTGCTATAGGGCGCGTGCACTCGCCAGACAGACAGAGAGACAGAAAGCGAGAAATCACCCCCCAGAGGGGATGGTCACGCCGCAATCCCTTCTCCTCCATTCTCCTCTCGGGATCATGGGCATGCACGCACACGCGCCTGGCGTGAGTTTTAAGCCACCGGGTCAGGGACGCGAACCGTGGTCGACTACATGGGAGTCCAGCGACATAGCCATCACGCTAAACTGCTGGTTCCCATAATTCAATTTTAAAATAACTAATTGATCTGAACAGATAGTTCTCAAAGAAAAAAAGACAAATAACCAAATAGCATATGGGAAAGAAAAATGTTCAACATCTTTTATCATAAGGGAAATGCAATTCAAAACTACAATAAAATATCACTTGAGACCAACAGATGGCATAATGACTATATTGCTGAACTTCCAAGCATTCGACCACAGTTCAAGTTCCGGACCCGATGGCTTAAACTCATGCCACACACATGGGCGTGCATGCCCAAGATCCCGAGAGGAGAATGGAGGAGAAGGGATTGTGGCATTGCCATCCCCCTGGGGGATGATTTCTCACTTTCTGTCTCTCTGTCTTCCTGGTGAGCACATGTGCCCTATTGTAAAAACCTCTCCCAAAAAAAAAAGCAAGTGCTGATGAGTCTGTCATGAAAAGAGAACCCTCCTGCATTGTTGGTGGAAATGTAAATTAGTATAGCCACTGTAGAAAACAATATGGAGGGTCCTCAAAACTTTACAAAAAGAACAACTATATAACATGGTAATCTTACTCCATCTTATTTATCCAAATGACAAGAAATAACTCAGGTGGAAAGACACATGCACTTCCATATTCATTGCAGCATTATTTAGAATAGCTGAGATATGAATTCAGCTTAAGTGTATAACAACTGATGACTAATACTACTCAGTCTTGAAGAACAATGAGATCCTATCATTTGATACAAAATGGTCATATCTAGAAGATATAATGATAAGTGAAATAATGACAGACTATGAAAAGACAAACACTGCATATATTTTAAGAGATGTGGGAAGCTAAAAGAAGACACTATAGCCAGAATAAGTGTAATCAAATCAAATTCCCTGTTCTGCTGGTTATCAGCTATGGGTCCTTTGGCAAATCATTAAACTTCTTTAAGTCTCAGTTTCTTTATTTATAAAATAAGAATAATAGATTATCTTATTGCATTATATAGGTGTGATCATAAAATTGTCTAATACAGTCAATTCTTATTATTCACGAATTCTATATTTGCAAGTTTACTTAGTCACTAAGACTTATTTGTAATTCCAAAGTCAATATCCACAGTGCTTTCTTAGTCATTTGTGCACATGCACAGAGCAATGAAAAGCCTGAGTCATCTGAAGTGCATGTTCTCAATTGAGATTGAACAAATGAATGCACTTTTTGTTTCAGCTGTACTTCCTGTCATGTGTTTTGTTGGTGATAGCACTGTTTAAAATAGCCCCTAAGTACAGGGCTGAAATGCTCTCTAGTGTTTCTAAGAAGAAGTAAGAAGGCTGTAATTTGCCCCATGGAGAAATTATGTTTGTTAGGTAAGCTTCATTCAGTTACAAAGTTATAGTGTTGTTGGTTATAAGTTCAATGTTAATGGAACAGTTGATCCTTCCTCAAGAATTTTTTTTAAGGTTTTGCCTTAGGGCATGTGTGCTCACAAAGAGAGAGAGACAGTGAGAGGGAAAGTGAGAAATCACCCCCAAGAAGGGATGGCCATGCTGCTATCTCTTCTCCTCCCAGAATCTTGGGCACCCGTGTACACATGCCCAGTATGATTTTCAAGCCACCCAGTCCATGACTTGAACCATGGTTGGCCAAGTGGGAGTTAGGCAACATAACCACTATACCATCTGCTGGCCCAGCAATATGTATTAAGTAACATATCTATAAACAAAAACACATAAAACAAGGTATATGTTAGTCAGTTGATGAAAAGTTTGAGACAGGAGGTTTGTGGAAACTTAACATTGTGTTTTTCCTAGAAACAATGAATTGGTATTTTCTAAGGAACTGTTTGTGGCAATTTTATTGTAAAAACAAAACAAAAACAAAAAGACTACTGCAAATTATAAGCCATGCTCTTATACAGTGTCAAGAACATAATAATTAGTAAATATTAGCTGGTGAAAACTTTTATTTTCACTATTGTCTTTTCTCATGAAAGGATTTAGTTTGACAAACCAAGGTAAGCAAATGAAAAATCTTTAAATTCTATCTTAAGTTTTAATAATCTTGTCTTGGAGGGACCCCTTCTGGCAGTTATATATGGAGAGTATGTACTGAAAAATTTACATGTTTTCCAAAAAAATTTTGGGTGCACTTTATCATTTGGTCAGGTCTTACTTGCTATCAAAAAGTTTCACACTACAAAACAGCAAAGATCACCGTAGCCTGATAACATGTTTAGTAGAAATTAGTGTTTCTCAAGAGTTCATTGTAGTAGAACATTAAAAATCATTCAGAAATGCATAAATTAGAAAAGATACCATTGTTTTTTCAATCTCTAAATTGTCTTTACCTCACTAGCTATGCTTGAAAACAAATATAGTGAGTAAGACTCAGGAGAAAATGTTTGGTTTAATATTAACCTATAAAACAGGACATAAAGTAAAAAATACACATGATTTTCTATAACTTTTTGTCATGGAGTCTAGTTCACAGATTAATTCACACTCTCCAGGAGTAAAATCTGCCAAAAATAAATCATTTATGTATAAAATTCATTACATTATCAAGCACGACTTCAGTTCCCTTAGAAATATCAGGGCCAGGTCCAGAAGGAGAATCGAGTTTATACTCAGATTTAAGCAGTATATAAAAATAATGTTTATAAGGGCCAGCAGGTGGTGTGGTAGTTAAGGGCGCTGGACTCCAACATGGCAGATTGTGGTTCGAGTCCCAGACCAGTGGCTTGCTTTCTCTCTCTCTCTCTCTCTCTTTCTCTCTCTAACTCTCACTCTACCCCTCTCTGATCAAAGTAAAATAAATAAATAAATGGATAAATAAAGTTAAAATAATTCTTTAAGAAATAATGCTTATATATTTTAGAACAATTTTATTAGAATTGAATAAAATAAACTGCAGAAACATTTAAAATATAATTTCTTTAATATAAGATAGGATTAATAAGTATGCTAAGTATTAGCAAGGTATGTTCCCCCAAAAAAAGAAAAAGAATATTTTCATAAATTTTTGTCTCTTTCAGTCAATTAATATAATATTGATAGAAAATAATTGGTTTGATTAAAGAGCTCTCTGATTGTTAAATTAAGGAAGCCTGTTGGTAGCATGAATTTGAAACAGTAAGAAATGTTGGAATGAATAAATAGAGGGTTTTTTAAATTATATATGGATGATTTAACAAGGAGACTATCCTTACACTAAAGCAGTTACATATGATTTCTCTTCAGTATGGATTATTATGAAAACTTGCACACAGAAAGGATTTCTTGAAAAACTGCACACTAGAAAAGTATTTGTATATCATTCAGTAACTAAAATTCAGGATGTAGAACAGCATACATATTCAGAGTAGCTAATTCCAGTCTGCCTTTTCATTTTGTTCATGAGTTCTGTTAAAATATTTAGATCCTTTTGAATACTTAGGTCAACTGCTAACTCCTCAAAAGAGCACACACAAAAAGCCCTATCGATGAAGCAAAGCTAAGTTTATTTATTCATATCAGGAATGGAGAAAAACATTGTGATGTACTTTCATTACTTTTCAAAAGGAGTCAGGGAGAATCCTCTTGAGTTATAAGAGGTTGGATCCTAGGCTAGATGACATCAAGGACAGTTTTGTAAAGTAGGGAACTAGCTGGGACTGGGCAGAGTTTATGACTGAATTTTAAATTGCTGAACACAGTAAGGTGGGATGAGGTAAGGTGAGGTCTTGAAAGGAGCCTTGGTGAGCAAGTTCATCTTGTCTTATTAAAGACATTAAGCTATTTTAGTTGGTCACAGTCTTGCCATTCTGGGACAAATTTGATCTCAATATTGTTTAATACAACATGAGAAAAAACATCCTTCATCTTGTATTACGTAAGAGGTAGAATGGAAACGATGTTTGGTTTTTTTAGTACTCACTTGAGAAAATTAGACTTGTGTTACAACAACATAACAGATTCTTCAGACTTTTTATTTGCTACCATCTCTTGCTGAGCATTGATCAGTATTGATACAATAGTCAATGATTTTGCATTGCTTAAAGAAAATGAATTTCGTATCACGCATCTTCTTTAATGGTATGGCAAGTTAGAACACAAAACTATTCTGAGTTGAGTGTCAGGGTCTTTTTTTTTTTTCTATTTAGAAATGCATGTATTATGTTCATTTCTTTCCAGCAAAGAAACAAAAGAAAAAGGAGATAGAAAACTCCCTGAATTGATATCCCTTAATAATATAGCAATTTTTTTTCTTTGCAGGAAATGGAAGAATTTGTCCAGAGCTCTGGAGAAAATGGTGTTGTGGTGTTTAGTTTGGGGTCAATGGTCTACACCCTTCCAGAAGAAAGGGCTAACATGATTGCATCAGTCCTTGCCCAGATTCCACAGAAGGTCTGTGTGCTGAGCAAGTACTAGAAATTGTCTTTGTGCCGTACTACTTGAGTGAGTTCCTTTAGTCTATAGAGAGGGCCCATTAAAAAGGTTTCCCCAAAGAGGAGAGATTTCCCAATAGATCAAAACGATCTTATAAAACTATTTTTCTTTCTAAGTTAAATTCTAAAATAGTTTAAGGGAGACTTATTTGCTTAACTATTCCAGTTTAAGCTTTGTGTTGCACTCAGATGCATTTATATATTAGAGATTATATGTGAGATTTCAGTGTCATTATAATAGCATAACCAGCAACACAAGAACACCCAATTCTTACCCCCAAAATCAAGGTTTTCCCACATGGTTTTCTGGAGGATTGTGGAGTTACTAGCTGTAGAGAGGCATCAAGTTGCAGTTCAATAGTAGCTGCAGAGGCACTCAACATCAGAAACAGAATTTTGCAAAAGACTGACTTAGAACATTGAGATTCAATTCCTTCCTTGGGCTCCTGATCGCTGTTCTCACAAGATAAAAACAGTGTATGCATCTTAAAACCAACCTGCCACATAGAGACCAAGAGAGAAGTCTGGGATGCCCTGAATCCCCTTGATGTGGAAGAGTGGGGAGGGACAAAAGAGTCAGCTCTAAGAGGTCTGACTTTGACAGCTGTTACAACAGAAAAATGTTATAGCAGAAAAGAGTAATAAAAAGGAAAGGGCACAGGTCCTTGACCTTAAGATCTCTTAGCCTTGTCAGTTAATGACTGTTGTCTGACCAATATGCTCTTCTGGCCAACTGATAAACTACTTCCTTAGGGATGGGAAGAAAGGGGAGAGACATAAAATGGGAAAGAGGAGATAGAGTCGGGTTTTGCACAGAGAAAAATAGAGAAGAGCTCTGTCCGACAAATTTTATAGTTGTTTTTTTCTGAAATTATCAGATGAATCTGAGCTCTATTACCAGTTGAGAATTACTTGCCACCTTCATTCATAATCCAAATGCACTCAAAGAACCTACTCTATTTCTTTCTGAGAGCCTAGAACCAGGCTGAAACTTCTTGACAGGTAATAGATCTGTTATTAAACACACAAAAAAAGAACAAAAGCAAACCAACAAAAAATATCACAGTAACCTAAGATTCCTTGAGACTCCTTCCTATTGGGAAGTGTGAATTTCAGCATCACTCACCACCTAGGACTGGATGTAGCATCATTAATATATGAGACATTACAAATTAGTGCTTTTAGTCTATAAAGTGTGATTAGATGTCTTCATACCTTAAACTATTAATTGGCCTATTTTAGCTTATTATGGTGAATGAAAGTTAATGTGGCATTTTCAAATTTTTAAAAATTTTTATGACTTGTCCTAGTATTAACTCTAAAATTATTAGCTTTCTAAAATAAATATAAAAATATGTAAAACTATATATTAATAAGCACATTATTAATAACTAAGGAAAATAAAAACCTGCGATAAATCCTTGGACAAATTTATTCTTCAAAGATTGTAGAAAATATTGATTTCCCAATGTGTAACCTAAACTAATTTATATTCCATCTATAAGAAGAAAAACCTTTGTCCCAAGTAGTAGAAAATGCAATATTACTGGCAAGATAGAGTGATATAAATCTCGATCAAGACACTCAACAGAAACAATGAACATAAGCTTATCCTCATCAATTCCCCTCAGAAAATATTATAGCAGGAAATACCTTCTAAGGATTAAAACCACAAGTTTGTTGTATTAATGGTCACTTGAAATAAATGTATGAAAATTTCTGTTTTGTGATTTACGTGATAGTTCTGATTGAGTCTTCAGTGATTCTATACTATTAAAATATTTTGTTTTATTGGGACCAGCAGATGGCATAATTGTTACGTCGCTGGACTCCCACGTCATTGACTGCAGTTCGAGTCCCAGATCCAGTGGTTTAAAACACACACTGGCGCGAGTGTGTGTGTGTCCAAAATTCCAATAAGAGAATGGAAGAGAAAAGATTGCAGTGTGGCCATTCCCCCTGCAGGGTGATTTCTCACTTTCTATTTCTCTGTCTCTCTGTCTCTCCAGTGAGCACACATGGCCTATACCAGAAATCTTTCTCTCAGAAAAAATTTAAAACTTAAAAAATTAAAAATAATTTTATTTATAAACTCATTCCCCTCAGCTTGTTAGAATAATAATTTGTAGTAAACCCTACAAAATTATTTGATAAAAGGGTATCTGAAATTTTGGTACTTTCATTATTATTTTTTCTTTTTACTTTTATTGTCAAGTGTGTGTGTATCCATCAGAAAGAGAGAAAATAAAAAAAAGAAATCACCTCCTATTAGGTCATTGTCATGCCACAATCCTTTTTCTTCCATTTCTCTCCCTTCAGGGTTTTGGGCACTCATGCACACACATCCGGACTGTTCCTTAAGGCACAGACAGCCAAACCCAAACCATGGTTGGCTATGTGGGATCTGATTCCTAAACCACTATGCTGGACTATTTGATTTTTAAAACTATTTAATAGCATTTCATATTACAAACAGAAATTTCCACATATATTAATTGAAGGAAGATAGCCAAGATAATTTTTTATTAGGCATTAATTTTAAAAATTAATGAAAGACTAAAATCTCATTGTGGACTAAAGCAAGCATTTTCTCCGTTTTAATAGGTTATATGGAGATTTGATGGCAAGAAACCAGATACGTTAGGACCCAATACTCGGCTCTTTGAGTGGATCCCACAAAATGACCTTCTTGGTAAGAAAATGGCAAATTAATACTAAAATTCTAAATGAGAGAAGATCTAAGGAGAAATAGTTCAACAGCAACCTAATGCAATATTTGCTTTTGAAAAAATTTTGTGACTCAACAAGATGTGGGGGTAAAAAGGAATGGAAAACAACTGGATATATATATATATATATATATATATGAAACTAGAAATGGAAAATTATTGACAATAACATGACTACACAGTATATTCTGGATGGGAAATCACCTTTTGTATGCTGTGACAATGCTCAGCAAATGAATGTAAATTAATTAATTAAAAACAAAAAAAGAAAACCTTGAAGATTAGGTACTCACAGCCTCATGCCTATAAATTTTTGATAGCTTCTGAATTGATTTTTCTCTCTTCATATTCTCCTAACCTTAATCCATTTCTCCATTGATATTATAGTGCTTAATTCTAAAATGATTGAGATGAACATCATTACATTCCCTTGAAATTTCAGTGAGTCATATTGTCTACAAAATAATAAAGTATAAATTTGATAAGCTACAAAGCACTCTCTGGATCAACATATCAATCATTTCTCCTCTACTTCAAAGATCCCTCCGAGATACCCCACATCTTAACATAGCGAATTTCTCTGTACTCTTTTAAGTCTCCCTGACTTTTAACAGGTGTTCATTGAATGCACTCCCACATTTGTCTACCAGAGAAATTTACTCTGCACTAACTTCTGGCTTGAAGCTTTGTCTTCTTCCTTCAAACAGATTTTTTCAGTAATCCACAGATGTTTATGTATGTGATCCTCTGAATACTATAAATCTGTGCAGGAAATATTCCTTTCTTAATTGGCTTATACTATCAACTTCTTCTATTTCTAAATTTGCTTAAAATTTATTGTTTTTCTTCATCTCTGTCTTAGGTCACCCAAAAACCAAAGCTTTTATTACTCATGGTGGTGGCAATGGAGTCTATGAAGCCATCTACCATGGGATTCCTATGGTGGGACTCCCCATGTTTGTTGATCAGCCTGACAACATTGCTCACATGGAGGCCAAGGGAGCAGCTATTGGCCTGGACTTGAACAAAATGTCAAGTGCAGATTTTCTCAATGCATTGAAGACAGTTATTAATGATCCTTCGTGAGTATAACATTTTTTTTAAGACATAGTTTTTACAGGTAGCTTCTTCTATCAATAGTATGAATTTCTTTCCATTTTTAAGAGTCTAATTCTAAAATAATTAAAATAGTATAATCAGTCTGAAATTTGTTTCTGTACTCAAGCACACAGTTATTTCAGAGTTGCATTTTAACCCAATAAAATATATTTTTTTACCAATTAGTATAATACACACACAAAAAAAATGTAAAGTTATACAGCTAGTCGTAAGAAGCACATTATAAAAAAAAATCAGAGAATCCGCTGGGGAAAAAAGATGAACTAAAATAAATACTAAATATTCAATAATGTAAAATTTCTGAAACTGTAAATCTTTATGTTAAAAATATATATTTATCACTATTGTAATAGATTTTTATGAGATATAATTTACATAGCATAAAACTTACCTGTCTAAAGTGTGAAATTAAAATATATTTGGTGTGTTTACAGCTATAAGTGGTACAATGATCTAATTTTAGATCATTTTTATTAATCAAAAAGAAAATTATCTTTCTCTTTCTATAGATTTTCCTATTCGAAAAATTTAAGATAAATCCAAAAGATGATCTTTTGTAATTGGCTTATTTAACTAAGCATTTTTTGAACGTCATTTGTATAGTATTATCTATTAGTATTTTCTTCCTTTTTAGTGTTTACTAATATGCTATGTTATAACTATACTACATTTATTCATCTTTTGGTTGTTTACTTTTTTTCTAATATGATGAATAATACTGCTACAAATATTGCTATACTTTTTTATGTGAACACTTTTTATTTCTTTTGGGTAGATATATAAGAGTGAAATTCTTAAGTAATATGATAATTTTATGTTTTTGAAGAACTGCTAAGCTGTTTCCAAACTGGCTGTATCATTTTACATTCCCATCTGCAGTGTGTGAGGGTTCCAATTTCTCTACATGGTGGCTTAAATTCACGCCATGCAAGTGTGTGTGCGTGCTCAAGATCCTGAGAGGGGAATGGAGGAGAAAGATTGCAGCGTGACAATCCCCCCCGGGGGGGGGGGTGGTGATTTCTTGCTTTCTGTCTCTCTGTCTTTCTGGCGAGCGCATGCACCCTATAGCAAAAACCTCTCAAAAAAAAAAAATATGTATATATAAGTGCACAAAAGTTGTAAGTTAAAAGATAGGAAAATATCTGTTAAATCAGTCACCAAAGTAAGCAATTGTAACATACTAATATCAGACACAATAGACCAGAGACATTACTAAAACTAAAAAATGTTTCATAATGATACATTAAGGAGCAGAGCATGATATTATGATATCTATACAGAAAACTAATCACCACAGTCAGGCTAATTTCAATTTAATAAAATATATGATTTAATCAGAAAAGTAAGCTAATTTTATATATAAATATATATGTGTGTGTCTATAAATACATACATATATATATA